CTTAAACCTAACCCTAACCCACAATCTCGTCAACAATCACTTGCCTTAACCCTATTTACATCTCGCGACCTTGACGAAATCTGCAGTTGGCCTTAATATTTAAACCTAACCCTGACTAGCCAGGAGATCTAGGACACATTGAACATTTACATCTCGCAACCTAGACAAAATCTGCAGTTGGCCTTAATATTAAGACGTAATCGGCTAGACCCAATGTGTCATTCAAATTAAAACGAGCCCCAATCTGTCGACACGGTTATACAAATTTACAAATTAAAATTATGTCAGAAAAAAAGGTTATGATTGCTTTTTGATTTATAGATTGATTAAAATCCCACCGGCGTTCTTTAACAGGGATGGGTAGGGCGTTTAAGTTACACTACAAAAAGGGTTGCAAATATCACTTATAAATTCTAAAACAACACAAGAAATTAAAATTTAACTTTATTTATCATAAGGTTTAGATTCATCATCGCGGTTAACAAGTCAATCATACAACTGAACAATATGAAACTGGCTTTAAAGCTGAACTCCGATTACAAAACTACAGAAATAATTAAATTAAAAAAAATAACACCCTAAATAATCGCCATACTTGTTTTCAATTTGTAGAACAAATAAGACGATTGTACGGCGTACAAAAACAGGCAGGCCACGCCCACATCCAGGTCGTTATTTTTTATTTTTATTTAATTATATTCTTAAAAAAAAGTAGGGGATATTCAGAAATGCACTGCTGTTTTTATTAGATGTAACCAGGGTATGTTAATAACAGGCCAATTGCCTACACATGAGCATAAACAGTTCATATGGGCGGCTTATCTGACGGCCCCATTTCACTCGCAAAGAGATACACCGTCAAAAGTGAAAATGAACGTTTTTGATTTTTGTCTTAATAATGATTAATTGCTCCACTAATCCTCAGACATTCAGCAATTCGTCGTGGCATGCTCCTAATCAACCGCCCAATCACGATTTGGGGCAATCTGACCCACTCCTCTTGCAGTGCCACGGCCAATTCTTGCAGGATTGACGTAGACGTCGACGAACACGTCTCCCAATCAAATTAAACATAACACACTAAAGCAAAGATACGCTAAACAGTAAATATGCAATAACCGATAGGAAAGAAAACATGGATAGTGTCAAATTTCAAAATGACCCCCCCCCCACACACACACACACACACACACACAATCACCCACACACACACACACACACACACACGCGTATGGCGATATTGCGTGTCGCATGTGCAGCTCAGTGGTTCTGTTGGGCGATAAGTTCTTCATCTGTGAACATACTCTCAAAGCATGTCAAGTGTCCATGACTATTAATCATATCACAACCTGCATAGGTATTTGCATTTCAATATCCCCTACTTTTTTTTAAGAGTATATTTCTTTAGTTTTGTAACCGGAGTTCGGCTTTAATTATACACGGTCCAGTGTGTTGTGAGGAAAAGGTTTTGTCCGGACTTTGTGTTTCTATCCCTTTTCGTCAAATTCCAATTTCCAAGGGTTCTTTCTATGCACGCCATCCAAATGACTTGACATTTTCCACCCATCCTATACTAAAGCCAAAAGGAACAAACTGGTAACCAAAGGACTCTTTGTTTAGCCACCACCGTGGATACAACTTTAAAGAAATTCCTTAAATGGGTCATTTCCAATATTTAGATCGAAACTTTCTTGGCCATCACCGGGAGCGAACCTGCAACCCCAGGCTAGCGAGCCAGTGTCTTACGCACCGAGTCATCGTGGCTCCCGTGACATCATAATAATAAAGACATCTCCTTTATAAACACCATGGAATTATTAATATCACCCACAATCGAAATTAATTTTGTAAAACTCGTTTCACAATTTTGAGGGAAATCATGTCAATTTATTAATTTAAAAAGTCAAAACTAATCGTTGGTCTAAGTGTGATGCTAATTGTTCTAATCTCAAATTGTCTACTTTACGCGATAAATACGCCATTGCGTTGGCGCAACTCAAGTTGTTGAAATTATGGATGAAAAAGAAAACGATTTCAAAAGGAATATTTTTAATCCTGGCTTGAGGACTGAAAACAGGTAGCGATGGTTACCGTGCTAGTGGAATGGGATGTGGTGTAATATCTTAACAATAAGAAATTTTTTGAAGGAATTTGAAGTACTGGGTTATATGGGGTCCGCGAGAAAAGTTTTGAATTAAAGTAGAGTTTTAAGATGTTCTTTCTGTTACAAGTGTGAGGTTTACATCAATATGTCCCTCTCCATCATCTGTTTAATTGTACCAAAAGTGCTTGATTTTACCCACTGCTCTTTGCATGTACATATGTCCTATTTGCTGACTTTAATAGATAATTTCAAGCCAATTCATAATAAAACAGTTTGCTTTATTGTACATGTGCAGTCTCTAGGGCCAAGCAGCGGTATTACTGTTTTACATGTATACTATCAATGTGTACCACAAAATAAAATAACAAACCCGTCCATTATTGTTGTTGATTTTGGCTAGACCAATGAAAACTCAGACTTCCCATGTAATGAAGTTATATCTGGCATTTTGGAACCAGGATATGTAAAACCTGACAGATTCGATCTAAAGGAAATGTTTGAGCTAAAGCGTCCTTAATGTCAGTCAATATTTAGAAATAAACATAATTGTATGTCTGCACAATAACGAAAACAGGAAGTAACTGTTCATTAAGGAAATGTCTTGCCAATCAATCATGCAAAAGGGGAGGGGTCGCTGCAAAATGAGGGCACTGACCGCGGAGACGGGGCACGCCGCTGAGAGATTTGTTTTTTTTGTTGTTGTTGTTTTGGTTTTTTTTTTTGGGGGGGGGGGGGTTCCCCCCAAGAAAATTATCCGTCATTTCCTTGCACCTGTAGCTATTTGGCTGATACTTTCGTCTAAGTAAACTACATCAAGTTGCACTCATGCGCGTCGATTCCACAAGATGATGTCTGTCTATAGTCACTCTATAGGATTAGGGCACCGTCAGCTAAACAACAAGAATTCGTTTGAAAGTGGAAACATTAATTAGACCAGACTGGTGTGGTTGAGTCGATGGTTTGAGTCATTTGGGATCCCTGCAACGGGTTGGGAACGGACATATTTGGGTCTGAGAAAAGGCACTTTCAGCAGTAAAAAAGGGGACTGTCGAAAATCAGGGGCGCCCCCCCCCCTGGATCCGCCTCTGTTATAGCACAGCGATATTTTAGCCAGTAACTAAAAATTTCTATTATTTGCAGGTCAGCCATAGGTGCAGTTAGATATTTTTTAGAGTTTTTTAAAAACCACCCCGCTCGGTGAATTTCTACCATATTTTTCGTTCCACCCCAAGGATTGGACGCTGTCCCTTAACCCCAGCCAGTGGCGTCTGCTATCTGCCTCCCTCCTCCCCCTCCCAATAATTTTAGAAAATAATAAAAAATATGTGTGATACGTTTCAGTAATTAATACCTTCTACGGTGATTAAATCTCACATTCCCACTATAACCTACTATAAACAATAATACATAAACCACTTGAGAAGTGCTTTTTACGATCCTCAAAGTTTTTGGGCATGGGTTCAACGCCACAAGAATATTCATTCACTTTGATTCACTTCCTCCGTTCATTTGACACATAAGCCAGACCGTATCTGGTCAGCTCTATTTATCTCGACGAACAGTGTCTCACAATATCGTGGCGAAAATATTCATTCACTTTGGTTCACTCACTCCGTTCGTTTGACACTTTCCTCTCTGGTCGGATAAACTAGTGATTTGGCGACAGGCAGTATCTGGTCAGCTCTATTTATTTCGACGAACAGTGTCTCAAAATATCGTGGCGAAAATATTCATTCGCTATGATTCACTCACTCTGTTCGTTTGACACTTTCCTCTCTGGTCGGATAAACTAGTGATCAACCGACAGGCGGTTTTGCCGCAGTTCTGCCCCTCCAACCACCGGAGGCCGTCGCCGCCACTGACCCCGCCCTGTACCAACTGACAAGGGGAAGCCAAGGTGGAAATTCCAGGGACTCTCTCATCCAATACCAATATCGAAACCCGGACCTCTCGGCTAGTGAGCCAGCGCCCTACTCAATGAGCCACCGCTAAGTACCGGGTTCTCTGGAGCTGTTAACTTTGTTAACATTATGAAAAGTGTATTTTTATTAAGATTGAACAAGCCGTGGGCATTTTTGCAAACAATGAATCATAATCTTATCTCTTCTTTTTTCCTATTTCAACATTTTTTATTGGGGTGAGATGATGATTGTGTGAAATTATTGTTCTCGTCAAATGCCTTGAACTATAGTTCATCTGTTTTAAAAACATATAATAGCTTTGAATAATAATACATTATCTGTGCACACTTCAAAGTAATCTGTTTTTCCACCATAGCTTGATAGTTCTACCGATGCTGACAACAATTTATATCTTGAAAACAATTTATAACATTATTATTGAAGAAATAAATTTTAATTAAATTTTGAACCTCCTTTATTTGCCTTTGAAAAAAGAACGGGAGGGTAAATAACCGGAAGGGAAAAATCCAACCTGTTTCACAGAGTATTAAGAAAGTCTTCTAATAATTCAGTAAAAGACGGCCGCTTACAACATATGACGACACTCACGGTCGTTAATCATTGGTTCAGTGGGGCGTGCATTGTTTACTGGTCTGGGCAGAATGGTGCCTTTTACTCATTTTACACGCCCATTTACACTAAATAGGATATATTGCTTACCTACATATCCTTTGCAGAGGGAAAAATGTTAATATTGGGGGCTCATTAAGCCGCAACGATGTCATCCCTATAAGTGGTTGTAGCGACCGAGCGAATATTCACTTCCTATCAGTGTGGAAGATATCTACTACACTTTTGACATTCAAATAACATTTTATAATTTCACACTCTTTCGCATAGAGGGCAGCAAAATAATAATAATAATTTGATGAAGCGTGATAGATCGAAAGAATAAATAGAACTCGAAGAAATCTAAAATACATCATACATCATACCTTTACTAATCCTGTGGGGGATTTGTCGACTTGTCGCCTTCACAACCCGATAAGTCGAGAATTTAGAATAGGCACTAACTGCCACCATATCTTTGATTTAGACAAAAACATCAAAATCCGATCTTTTTTTTAAAAAAAAAAGAAAAAAAAGAAATTATAAATGTAACAATGTTGTTTACATTATTTTTTTTTTACTTTTATGGCATGGTGTATTTTTACTGGTCAGTTTAATATTTCAATCAATTTAATTATAAGAAATATTATATGGCTTAGTTATTGTCTCTACTTTCTGTTTTATCGTTCTTCTGTCTTAGTTCAGCCTGGTCGTTAAATATTGAGTGAGCTGATAAACAATATTGGATAACATACCATCATTGCTTTGATAATAATTCTTTAGCTATTGATGAAATCTGGTGTAGACTGATCTCACTTTATTGACATTTCTTATTCATCATTATTATCTACTCTTAACTCGTTGTATCACAGCAATGTCTAATATGCTGTTATATTAATAGTCTAGATAAAAATCCCCCACACACAAAGCAGTCTATAAGATCATAGTTGAATAACAGCACGACTGGGTGATCAGTACTTGATAAAAAGGAACAGTTGAAAGTAGATGGCCAAAACAAGTGTTTTAATAAATAAAATAAAATAATATGGATTCTAACGAATCATTCAATATCTTTCTCAAACAACAACTCCCGTTTCTGTGTAATTATATTTATTTTGAAGCCCCATACGTCTTCGCCAGACGCCAAAAACAACCAAGAGCAAATATTGGGCGCCATTATAGAACATAGGCTGATTTTGTAATGGAATTTGAATGTGTAGTTTACTCGCTCAGGGATTTAAACCATGGCCAAGTGAGATGACTGACGAGCCACACAATTGGTTGTTGGTTGTTTTTCTGACATTTCAATTCAAACAAATATGTCTATATCCATAATAGAATGGTCCTGACAGAAGTCAGATACATAATCATGAGACTATAGGCCGTTATTAGGATGTATACTAAACAGCAAAAAAAACACGTCAGTACGATTTCAAAATCAGAGAGGCACTTTAATCAAACCATTCTAGAAAACGACTTACTAAATGGATCAAAGCAATTTTTTTGTGAACAGTATGTTGACACATTAGTGATTAATTAATCACAATTCCAAGACATTTAGAGTCTGTATACAGTCTATACATCAGTATCTGGTGTGTCCACCGCGAGTGTCAATAACAGCAGCGCAGCGTCTGTATATGGAGTGGACCAGACGATTGATGAATGCCATTGGCACCTGGAACCAGACTCTCACTGGCTCAATCCATCGGCTGTGTTCGGTTTCGGTACGACGTTATTAAGTCTCCTCTGAATTTCATCCCAAAGATGTTCAATAGGGCTTAAGTCCGGACTAAGGGCTGGTCAGTGCATAACGTTGACACCGTTCTGCTGTAGAAAGTCCTGAGTAACTCTGACGGTGTGGACACGGGCGTTGTCATGCTGGAAACGTTGTTTCGATGACGTGCGCAATGTGGTATGACGTGGGGGATGAGAGCTTGATCAATGTAGCGCTCTGCTGTGATGCCGCCTCCTCTCCCTGGACCAACTAAACCATTATGCTTGGACCTCCCCATGAGTCTCGTTCCATAACACACTGGTCAGAATAACGCTGGCCACGTCGACGCCATATTCTGGTCCTGCCATCTGCAGCTGATACGCAATACCGACTCTCATCTGTGAACAGAATAGTTCTCCATTGCCTGTGTTGCCAGTTCTGGTGTTGTTGGGCAAACTGTACACATTCATGTCGATGGCGAGGGGTGAGGATCTACGGCAATGGATGTTCTCTCTGGTGAGACGTCGGCGCACTGTATCGGTACTGATGGGTCTTTCGTGTGTTCCCACTGTCTGGCGTGCTGTCCTAGATGCCTGTGTGAAGGGATTCTGCACATGCTATCGCACAACATGGCGGTCTTGTCGTCTTGTGATAACCCTTGGTCTACTAGTTCGGGGGCGATCATCCGTGGTGTTGGTGGCCCGGAAGCGTTGCTGAAGCATGTAGATGGTCCGAACATTGTCCTGGAAGTGATTGATAACGGCTTGGGCAGTATGGCCAGCGTCGAGTCTTCCAAGTGCCTGGTTCCTCTGAGCTGTCATGAGCCGTGGCATCCTGCTGACGTTGTAGTGTGAATGATTCAACCAGGGATGGGGGTGCATTTTATAGTGCTGGTCCAGGTGAACAGCACGTTCAGCATGAGTTACATGAAAATCATGGAGAACACATTACCATCTCAGAAGTTAGGTTGCGTTTTTGAGAACATTTCCTGGGTTCAATTTTGTGTTTGGAAAGGAGCCTTATTGCTCAGGAAAAGTTGGAGATGTGGTCACAAATATACAATAAAAACATTTGGCAAGTTTTATGCAATGTGTCTATTCAGAGTAACATACCAACCTGGCGTTTCTTTTGTTGCTTAGTATATATCTTGACATACGTCATGATCCGTAAAAACAGTAAACATTTGACCTAAATATGAACATTTGACTCTTTCCCAGAGATGTTTTTTTTTGTCAATAGCGCCAAAATGATTGCTAAAGGTATTTAAAAAATATGTAATAGATATGCATATTCTGCATATCATATCCAACATTTAAATGATTTCATAGAATATTGACAATTTATGGATAATTGAAATTTTGACTTGCCGGCCTAATACCTGACGCAATATGGCAGAATACGTTTCATAGAGGTGGATTTTAACGAAGCCTTCAGTCTAGTTCAAAATGAAGAAATCTTTATATTTGGCGGATTCGGCAGTTGGGCAAAACGAACCCACCGATTGCATCGCAAGCAGATTTTATTTTGAAATATCTCAATTAACATCTATTCCAACGTTATTATGTTTGGATATGATAAGCAGCATAGCGATCTATCTTATATTGCTTTTAGAAGTTTATTTAGTATCTAGGTCCTATCTGGTGAAAAAGGATTGTTGAGACATGCATGGTATATCTTCTTTATCGGGCATGTGGCTATATTTTTAGGAATCTTAAATTGGACATGAATTATGGGTAAAAAAACACATACTAGTAATATTACGTAATTTATATTCAATTTTTAAAAAATTATTGAAATTTCTAATCAATTATGTCTGGTGAAATACATGAAATGTCCAAATTGAATTAAGGTTGTAAACATCTGTTTACTCCATTATACACAGTTTTTCTATTATTATTTTGTCGTTTGTGAATCAGCTATTACTAATTACTTCCGCATTGTATTGTAGGACATGTTTTCTTTGTTCATTACATTTGCTATTTGCACCCCCAAGCAAGACATTATCTGTCTCGTACACGGCAAACGTTACAACTTGTTAGGTATACGAAACCAAAACTATTTTGTATTTAGTGCAGTTTTTTTTTGGATGAAATTGGAAATTAATGACCATTAACAGTTATCATTTCTGTAGCCGTGGTGGCTATGAGTAAAACGCTGACTCACTAACAAGGGAGTCCCGGGTTCGATCTTAGAGATTGTCAGTGGTACAGGATCCTGATAATGAACAGTGTCTAGTTGTTCAGATGGGACGAAAACCATAGTGCACGTAAAAGAACCATTGACAGTTGAAATTCGAAATAAGGTCGTAGTGTCACGGTCCTCATTGCACCCTGTGTATGTCCGTCTTTATTAGCCAATTCGGTGCAGAAAAGTAGGACGTTAAGCCTCATTTCATTTTGTTTCCTGGTGTTTTCAGAATTCCAAGGGAGACATGTCCAAGGGAGAAACCCCCATTCTGCAATATTGAATCATGGAAACCGCCCACTTTGCATATCATCGTTGCGTAATTGAGACGGAAAGAAAACCATTCTCTAGCATCCAGAAAAATAGTGTCTAGTTGTTCAGATGGGACGAAAACCATAGTGCACGTAAAAGAACCATTGACAGTTGAAATTCGAAATAAGGTCGTAGTGTCACGGTCCTCATTGCACCCTGTGTATGTCCGTCTTTATTAGCCAATTCGGTGCAGAAAAGTAGGACGTTAAGCCTCATTTCATTTTGTTTCCTGGTGTTTTCAGAATTCCAAGGGAGACATGTCCAAGGGAGAAACCCCCATTCTGCAATATTGAATCATGGAAACCGCCCACTTTGCATATCATCGTTGCGTAATTGAGACGGAAAGAAAACCATTCTCTAGCATCCAGAAAAATAATCTCCGAATAAGGGGGGGGGGGGGTAACTAGTCCTAACCCAAGATGTCGACGCCTTTGAAATTAATTTAAGAATGCCATTCCAGAAAATCGACTTGATTGCATTGCCATTTCAATATCCAACACATTTAATTTTTTTATTGTAAAATTTCTCTCTTCATGGGTCATATCTATGTTTTTTTTAATCACCGGTAACCCTAATTCGTCGTCACGATTCATGTTTGTTTATAATAATGCAAGAACTGTGGGATTTATACCGGGAAGTGGTGCAACTCTTACTTGAATTGGCGAAAAATACTGGATAATCTACCACATAAAAAAAACTCCTGGTTACGTATGGGCAATGAATATTGACAACGGTTGAAGACTAGGAGGTTCTGGGTGACCGAGACTAAAAGAAAACAAGTTTAAAACAAGTTAACAATAACTTTTATTTTTCTCTTGCAAGAAAATCGATGGGTCTATTAATTTTGTATTTGGTGCCGTACTTAATGATGGAATTGGCCAATTAATGATTATTGTGTTATTATGGATTGTACAAAGTGGGGGAAATCTGATTCCTCGCAACATCAGCTAATTCAGCTAGTAAATGATAATATTGTGGCTGATATATCAATATATATCTAGTGTGATAATTATTACACGAAGATTATACTAAAAGATACATTATGGGAGATTAGATAAAGAGCTGGCAGTTCTGATTATAATAGTTAACCAGCGGCTGCCAGGCAGGATACGCCCACATTCTGCAAGAGATGGATAGAGAACAAGCTAAACATAAAGCGATTTTTCGAACAATCAAGGGCCATATCAGGAAGTTGCGCTCGGATATGCGCGAATATCGTCAGGAACCAAGATCGTTGGGTTATAAAGATATAGTTCAAGTTTCATCAAAATCGGATCAAAATTGTGACTTCTAGAGGGTATACCACCTTGATATACCATATATTTACACTATTTGCGTAAGAGGGGTGGCCATTTTGTCCGGCAGTTTTGGTCCGATTTTCACGAAATTCAGACCCAACCATGATTACGGTGTAACGGTGATATATTCGAACGTTTTTGTAAATCAGATAACAATTGTGGCCTCTAGAGGGACCACAAGCTAAAAACACGATTTTTCACACAATCAGAGGTCATAATTCAGGAAGTTACGATCCGATATACGCAAATATCGAAAGCCACCAATATCTTTGGGTTATAAACATGCATTTCAGGTTTCATCAAAATCGGATCAAAATTGTGACCTCTAGAGAGTCCTCAACCTTGATATTCTATATTTTTACACTACACTGTTAGAATTATATGTATATTTACATTTATAAGTATAGTAAAAATACAGTGTTCGATTTGTAATAACACATGGTTTGTTAACTTACATTTATAACGATGTAAATGCATATGAATGCAGGGCTTATCTAAGATTACATCAAAATGAATGTAGTAATACAATCATATGTCAGGTTACATTATGTGAGCTGTATATTAACAGAAATGCCATTTGAAATATTATTTTCACAGAAAATTGTAAATTTACTGTCAAATAGTGGTTATATCGGTTATTCCCCCTTTGACCACATATCAAATATTTAGTGTTCTGTCAGTCGGTTTAGTCGATCCAATTTTGAAAAATAGACTATTCAAAATCTGAATGCACCAAACTGGCTAATAAAGACAGGTATGTGCCATACATTGAGTTGTGTGGGACATTTTGCTTGGACTGTGTCATGCCACCTACTCTTTCCATTGTAAGGAGCAAAACAGTAGGACATTAAACCCCATTTTATTTAATTTCATTACATAATCGAATGATGCTCGACTGGAAGGTCCGCAAAACTTTCTGTGTTCGCCAGGATCGAACCTAGGACTAATTAGCCAAGCAGGGACAAACACATTCATTTAAGTAATTTTACCTTGGCAAATTCTATAATAGTTATGAAGTATTAATACATAAACTCTCTCAAAATACACAACATGAATTTTTTGTTTAATGTTATTGTACCAATTTATGTAAATTAACATCATGGTAATTTTACAAGTATTCCATTTATAGATACGTAATTTTGCCTTGGATGTATAATAACTAGAGATAAAGTTACATTACAGACTGTGAAATAACATACAATGTTAAAATACAGTTATTACGATGGCAATATTTCTGCCAGTTAAAAAAAGGGTAAAAATACATAATAATATTACCAGTGTATTAGCGTATGAGGTGCGGCCATTTTGTCTGGCAGTTTTGGTCCGATTTTCACGAATTTCGAAATCAATCATCATAAGGGTGTAACGGTGATATTTATACGGTTTTTTTAAATTGGATAAAAATTGTTACCTCTAGAGGGACCACAAGCCTTAAACACGATTTTTCATACAATCAAGGGCCATAATTCAGGAAGTTACGATCCGATATGCGCGAATATCGAAGGGAACCAAGATTTTTGTGATATAAGCATAAATTTAAGGTTGCATCAAAATTGGAAAAAAAATTGTGGTCTTTAGAGTGTCTACAACCTTGATATATACCACATATTTACACCATTTACGTTATATGAGGGGCGGCCATTTTGGTCCGATTTTCACGAAATTCGAACTCAACCATCATTACGGTGTAACGAGGATATATTTACACGGTTTTGTTTTAAATCGGATAATAATTGTGACCTCTAGAGGAACCACAAGCTAAAAACGCGATTTTTGGTACAGTCAAGGGCCATAATTCAGGAAGTTACGATCCGATATGCGCAAATATCGACAGGAACCAAGATCTTTGGGTTATAAACATGTATTTCATGTTTCATCAAAATCGGATCAAAATTGTGAGCTCTAGTGGGTCCACAGCCTTGATATACCATATTTTCTACACTTTTTGCGTACGAGGGGCGGCCATTTTGTCGGTGATATATTCAAACGTTTTTTTTTAAATCGGAATACAATTATGACCTCCATAGGGTCCACAAGCTAAAAAAAACCCCATGATTTTTCGTACAATCAGGGGCCATAATTCAGGAAGTTACGTCCGATATGCGCGAATATCAAAAGGAACCAAGATGTTTAGATTTTAAACTTACATTTCAAATGTCAACAAAATCAGATAAAATTGGGACCTCTACAGGGTCCACAAGCTAAAACTGCGATTTTTCGTATAATCAGGGGCCATAATCCATGAAGTTACGGTCCGATACATGCAATATCGACAGGAATCGAGATCTTAGGGAGATAAACCTATATTTCAAGTTTCGTTGAAATCGGATAAAAATTGTGACCTGTTGAGTGTCCACAAACAATTGTGGACGGACGGACATGGGCGACGACAATATATGTCCACATGAAAATGTGGGCGTATAAAAACTAGATAATGTAAAGGGAATTCGCTGAAATTTCAGTCAAGTTTATCCACTCTGAACCGCGATTATAGCGATTGAATTTTCGGCCTAGCCTTGATCATCATTACTAGAGTAGGTACGATAAAAAAAAAACATAGTCTCGATTATCCAATTTAGGATTAAATCATGAATGAAAGTTGAGTAGCAAATAAGATCCTAATCCAGTAAATATCGCAGGCTAGCGTCGAGAGTTGATTATGGTCTGGATAGGTTAATTAATGTCTAATTAATAATTTAGATAACATTTCAGGCCTAAAGAAAGACCTGCAATAGGCAGATTTAGCTCTTGCATAATGTATGCTTAAAGTAGCAATATTGTTATTAGTTTATAAAACAATATCCACAGTCTTTACGTACTGCATTTTAAGCACAATAAATGAATCTAATCTAAGCAATTTGATAAGCTTTCTTTCCAACATACATTTTAAAAAAACACGTAGAATTAAATAAGTTTGACTTTGAACAGCGTTGTATAACTTGGTTAGAATCAAGTAATTATAGTTTTTGTACAGATATTGTGTTATGTTGTCACAGTCGAACTGCATAAGATGTAAATCCTTTGGAAGAATAATGACCAAAATATCTGCTGTTTGGGCGTAAATGGTCGTAACAAAGGCATACGGTTGAATTGGAAACCTTTGTGGAATTCCCCAAAGATCTCAGCTTCCTTTGGAAGTCTCTGTTTAGTAGAGAAATAGTGTTTGTTATTGCGCTGCAGATGTGTTTATTATACATGATCGGTAGTAAGTTAATCAACGATTCCAAAGTCACAAATACATGGTGTGTCAAACTAACAGGAAAACTTGCAGATTAAAGGAGAAACCGCAAAATAAAATTGGTTAATTCTGGAAATCTTGACTGGTAATATCCATATGAACCTGGACAAACTTCAACGTGGACAATGGCAATTCCACGCTATACTTTCGGCTATTATTGTTTTCCACAGAGTAACAGAATTTTCAGGGAATTGTTGTCTTTTAATTTTCTCTCGGCGAAGTTTATATGTGGTGTCGAATTGTCACTCATTGAGGAATTGTCACACAATGAGAAATTGAAGCGACCCCTATAAACTGTTTTTGTGATGTATGTTCTCTTTGCATACTCAAATGAACTGTTTGCTTCGTAGATCCCACAGGCACAAATCGAACGAAACTAACCTTCCAGTACCTCGCTCGTGCGACTGATATTTAAACCAAACGCGACTCATCTTGTTGGTGTTCTTTGGGGGACGCTCTTGAAAAAAGTCTCAATGTTCGTCAATTCAAGTATGACAAACATAACACTTAGTATGCTTATTCCTTGGACAATTGCGTATCGGTTTTTGGCATGACATCACAATTCCACGATTCCAGCGAAGACGTTAGGGTCACTTCCTGGTCCATACAGTAGGCTAGCATCGTGTTAGTCTATTGGAATCGAACAGTTAAATCAATTATTGTATTTTTCTTCCAATGGATATAATATACTTATATTACTAGGGAGACAAATTAATTAATTTTAGTCGTTTTATAATATTATGGATCTAACGATCAAAATATTTTCGATCCAGCAGTTTCACTGTACCATTTGACGTAAGTTTGAATCGACCTTTACACATTCAACATGTGCATTATGTAACAAACAATATTGGTTTATTAGGTATGACTGCAATACGAAATCGAATGGTTTTGAGAAAGAAGAAAAACTCATTTCTGACCACTTGTCGTTAATGACTTTTTAACACAAAGTTTAACGGTTCATAGATTAACGTTTCTTATTTATTCAGTAATGGAATTTGTGTTATATCAACTTGAATTGGTTGATACGCTGTAACAAGATTAGCCAACATCTTGATATTACACTTCTTGCATGGATTTTGAAGAAGTTTAATGTTCTGTGTAAAACTATGAAAGGTTAGATAAAAAACACAGAACAATTTGATAAAGTGGTAAATAATTATAGCACCTTTTTACTTACGTTTTAATCGGTTCTAAAACGTAGAATTTCTTTTTTGTTTAGAGTGCACATATACTTCTGTGAAAAGGAAATGGATCAGTGAAATGTAATGGTGTTTGGCGTTGCACGCCACTTCATTTATTTTTTGAAACTATTATACGGTACTGGTAAGGTGCACAACATGATAGGGATTGTATAACATTACTCTTCTTCGGTCTGCCAATGGATTTTTTACAGGTGCACTACCAATTTGAACAAGGAACCTCGGATTTTGTCCAATAAGAAGTACCACACACACTTCTCTTTCCACGTCTGTCTGGGCTTGAAAAATCAGGAAATGTTTCTTTTCCTTTGAAGTATTTTTAACGATGTGATTTCCTGTTAGACTTTCCTGGTAGTTGAGCTATATTTTTCAATTAATGGTTGCGCATTTTAGAACACATAATATAGAACAAAATAGCGTTTAACGTCCTACCTGTCAGTGCCAACTGGGCTTTTGAAGACGGACATACGCTATGAGGGTGTCCCCACCATAGTGAAAAATCCCAAGGAATTTTATCAACCAACACCGGGATCAAACACCCTAGTAGTGGGCCAGCGCCTTACTCCTTGTGCCAACGTTGGATCAAACGTTAGACGAATCAATCCAAATAGCATAAAAATGAATGTCAGTCAGTCCAGCCAAAATGTAATGTAAGTATGTCGAGATGAGAAATTAAAAAAAACCTGTCATTTTGCCAGGACAGGAATAACTCAAAAATTAGGTCAAAACAAATGAAATGAAATTAAAGATGTTTTGCCAAGTGTGATTTGGTGATATGTTTGAACTAAAAATATTTTCAGACTAATTCATCTATCCACACAAATTTGCTTCGAACCCCTCTCCAAACATTTTAATCGCAAGGAACTACCTCAAGCCATGAAAGTCTATTTTAAGCAGCCATCTTTGTCACGTAACTTGTCTGTCGCCACAATGAGAGGACCCGGAGAAACCCACGAGGTTGGACATACTACCCTACTCCTTGTCACGTACAACCGGGGATTCGAAACCACGGCAGTTGACTCAATGGCAGACCTTATGATACAGCACGCACTTGCTAACCATTCGTCCCCCCTCCCCCTCCCCCTCCCCTCGGGCTAATCAAGTCGGGCATAATATGCCATGCACTGTGCTATGAGGGAAATTTTACCCTGCTCGTCGTGGAATTCCATCCATCAAGGGTTCTTTTATGTCCACGCCAACGTATCATCCGAACGCATAGATACTGTCACTTGCTTGGCAAACCGTACTACATCCCCGACATGGGGAAACCCCATTGGAAAATGTCGGGGAACTTTCCTGGCCAAGAAGACCATGATCGAACCTCATGGTTACAAAGTTTCATGATTAAGATGAGACAATAACACTATATGTTATATAAAATTTAATCCCCCATCTTTCAAGAACCCTTTATCTAAATCTTTTAACAAAATGAATGGAAGGAAAGTATGGGTTCTTTTTAAGATTATCCATGAATAGTTCAATTAGAAATTCGTAGATAATCAAGCAGATTAATAATATTTTTTATATGGATATCCGTAAGACAGTGAAAAGGGGAACAATGCACGTCTTGGTAAATAAAATATAGAAAAAACACCAAAGAGCAAAAAGAAAAGTAGTAAACATTACTGTCAAGATAAGATCAAATTACTTAATCATACAATCATGTCCTGTCGTTCGTTGTTTTCATCATTAGTGCGGCTGAAAGGGGAAACAAATCTTCAAATCAGTCAGCAAATTAGCGCCATTTCCCTTTCTAGAATTAACCAGGAATTTTTATGCATTGATAACGTTGTTATTTTAACAACGTCTGTTAACCACCCACATAATTATTATTACGAACTGGTAATGTGGCGTTATAATTATTGGGAAAAAAATGGACGCTGATATGTTAAACTTCCAGGAGGAAGCGAAAAATAAAATACAAGTAATACACGAGTATTAATTTCACCGATAAATTGGTGATTGCTTGTCAATCTTTTTGTAGGTGTACACCGATGGATTGAAGGTCGGATTATACAGTCTTTAAATTCAATGCAAATCGTGTGACGGGACCGCTGATTGACGTCGTAATTCGTAATATTTAGAATACGACCCAAAACTTTTTTTTTTGGGGGGGGGGGGTGAAGTAATAAGGAAAGAAATCGGGACATGAAAATGATGATGGATTTCACAGAATGCCGTAGTATCAGAAGCCGGATTTGATAGAGTTCACTGTACAGCGAAGAAATAGTTTCGTTAGCCTCTGTACCGCAAGTTTGTCTATATTAAAGGACATAAAGCCAAAAGTCAATGGGATTTTCCCTTTTCAATATTGATACTATTATGTAGCTAGTCCTACCATTGTAACGTTCCGTGCATCTGATAAATAAATATCAAAGAAGATTTTACGACATAGTGATAAGTTTGGATATGTAATAGAAGGGTCATCCCCACAAAAGTTTACCAATTTGGGTAACAAAAAATTTGTTCCTGATAGTGGTTATTGATTTAGAACCTCGGATCTCGAAAGAAAATATCCATTTCATTAGAAATAGTATTTTTTATTTAATTGCTCTATATAAAATGTCTCTAAAATATTAGAAATGAGTTTAATCAGGTTTAGCCAAATCCACAAAACCAACAACATCAATATGTCCCTTTAATCTTTGTATATATATATGTATATATATTAATTATAGCATTATATTCTTCAAGAATGAGTTTGTCAGTTGTATAAAACAGAATCAAAGGTTTGGTCTTCTTTATTTGTCTATGCCCGTAAGGCAATTAGAAAAATAGAAATTCAAGTAGTAGTATGTATGTTTACAATTATCAGCTAACCTACAGAATATAAACATCTATCAAACCATATTAACTATATCTATTCCAGATACCTATGAGTAGGTGTTGAACTCAAAATAATACAAAGCTCCACGCCGGACAGTGAATGAAACGAGTAGTACAAAGAATGTGCTATACTTGTCGTGGGCAGTTGCAATTCACAGACGAGTGAAATAATTCTTATCATATCCCACCGAATTCTTTTCGTCTGAAACTTCTATTTAGTTCTACACATTAATGTGTTAGCATTCGTGTTACTTGTACATAATAACTTCAAAATCGTCTAAGCAGTAGCCGAGAGTTCCCCAACATTATGTTTCGCCATTAGAAAAAGTAACACGTTTATTCGTGGGGCTTAACGTATACTTCCTCCTAGGGTATTATCGCAGACGAAAAGACAACGTGTCTTCGTTCAAAATTTATGTTCATAATCGATTGCATGTGCCTGAGTTGACACAGTGGTGTTATGAATTCGATGTAGTATCGCATGTTTACTATTGTGCCGTGTTTTCCACCAAATAGTGTCGTGATGTCGGGTGATGATAAAGGTGAGATTTTACATGGTCACCATCAGCCACCATATCAGTTTAATCATCACCATCTTTTATTATGACAGAATTACACATTTGATTTGTATGTCGATGGAATTGTGTCGCTTTTACCGCAAAACATTTGTGGAATGTTTACGAAACTAAACGGACGACGATCTCCGTTAATGTTAATCATACGACAATAAATTAAAAATAATAATGGAAATAGAACAAAATAAAAATTTAAGAACTAAGTCATATCAACTAACATTTTTACATTTGTAAATATCCAATTTCTGTTTAAGTATATGCATTAAAATAGGCATAGGGCCTACTAGCATACGCATTACTAGGTTAAGAGCTTAAATTATGCCGGGAATTCCACTCCATTATAGTTTCTTACAATCTGATTAAACCAGATCCTATTTCGTTTTGTTTTTATAGTTCAAAATTTCGTTTTACTTGTCTTTACTACACTAGGACCTGTTCTGAATGGCGTGAGAGATCAGCCAATGAAACGGTCTGTTACGGCGAGCTTTAGGCGTGTTTTGCACGGAACTGTGGGTAATCCACTAATAACATCAATGCTGATTGGTTAATCAAATGTCTGACGCCATAGGGCCAAAAGCCACTCGAATGACCTCTTACGCAACCTATCGCTACAACCGGTCAGATCTTCATGTAGTGTAGGCCATCGAAAGTATAAAAAGAAAACGAAACAAAAAAAGGTCTTAATTTTCGAACATTCGATGTGCACTAATTACAATCAGTGAACATATGAAGGGAATTTTCGCTTAGACTACTACTACACACACTTCCGGACCCATAATGGCCACAGTAATATAAAAATATGTGATTTCTATTCAAGCACTCTCTTGATTATATTTTTTGGTGATTAACTATCATTTTCTCAAAGAGCTGAAAGAATATTGTCGATGCTAAATATCCATTTTCTTATTAAATTACGTACGCTAGCACTTTCTTCTAAAGCAACAAAGAGTCTGCATTTTTATGATACATAGCGGTGAAAATATTAAACCCAATTTTGATGAGGTCATAACAGGTTCTATAATTATAGAACTTATTATTTACTAGTCGTCAATCCATTATTCCTAAAATAACCCTTTTATGTTATAAATTATTCCATTTCTAAAACCCACATAATTGAGCAGTATTAGCTCTAACTATGTGGCTTTAAAACATCTTGGTAGAAAGTTGAAAATAGAATATTGTTAGTGACATTTACTTCGCGACATTTCATTTGATTGCACAATTCTATATAATTGATTACAGAGAGTACATTATCTTGCTTTGACAGAACTTGGCCACCGAAGACACTCCATCAAATATCATTCTAAATTCTAAATCCGTTTTACTCAGAAGTAATACTTCATTTACAGATGCATTTATTGGTTGGAAAATTTCAAAGCTAGCTAACTGTTGGCTGTTTACTTGGCCTCGTTTAAAAACATAAAATGTAGTTAATATGACTTCGCGAAGATTTAATAAGCTGATGAACGTTTTCTTTAGACGCCGTTCTATAGTAACTAATGTATGGAACTGTTATCACTAGCTTCAGCCTGTTTTTAGTCTGCAAGTGATAAAGACTGTAATGGGTCGTTATTCTGTTCATGTATAGCTCCTCTTAATCTCTGACTAGTCTATAGACTTACTTTATAAAGGTCAAATTAATAGATTATTAATCATGACGGCATTACACCATGACCAAGCTCGCTCAACTGTTGTCGTCATTTGCTTTAACATGCAGATTGTTGATCCGTCCAATAACCTTAAAGCCCCTGCCCCACCCCACCGATACATGGCAGTTGCTAATTCTGTGTCGAAGTCTCTTAAAACCCTTTATTCAAGTCCCAAGCACCGATATGACGCTCATCTATACGTTTTCAAATAAAAATTCGACATGCCATTATATTCAATTGTTGGTCAGGTTGTGTTAACTTATTCGACTGATTTATGTTCTGTACGATTTAGTAAACATAAAATGACACTAAACCTGGACAAAATTCGACAATGAACTGTCATGTAAATAATTATAATAATAGATGACAATACTAATATCAGGGGATATACTTTAGACACAACCATCAGGTTTATAGCAAAAATGTAGATTTACTTTTAATGCCTGTTATTTGATTTTATATAAATTTGGGAGTGAGGGGAGTTACTTTTTAGGAAATTTGCCAGGATGTTAATATATTACAGATATCTCTATAAACCC